GGGAAGGTGGGGGTGGGGGAGTGGGTGGGGAGCTGTCTCTTATACACATCTAGATGTGTATAAGAGACAGGCCTGGGTGAGCTGCAGAGGTGCTCCCCTGCTCCCTGACCCAGTCCTTGAGGCACCAAAGCAATACTAAATTCTAGAAAGGCTAATTAGGAAGCTGGCCCTGGCCTGAAGGGTTAAAGGATAGTTAAGCTACATACCAAGCCAAGGACTCAATCCTCCCCAAAAGTTCCCATTAGAAGCCGAGATAAAGATAGTTTCCAAGGCCTGAGCTCCTGCAGGAGGCAGGGTGTTTACTCTGAAAAGGCATTCGTAGGACCTTGGAGGAATTACTTAGTATCGGGCTAAGGGAAGAAATGTGGGGCGGGGTGCTATTCAGCACAATCAACAGTGCCTGTATATATTAAGCTGAAAAAATAAACTCGGGGCTGGCAGCTGGCAACAGGAATGAGCTGCAGCCCTCCCGATCCCATCTTTTTTGTGTCTGTCTTTTCTCCATCCTCACCCCTTCCTCAGGACCGTTCAACTCTGCCGGCGGGCTCCGGCACCTGAGCAGGTGGGCTTCCATGTGGTTGTATTTCCATTTCAGGAAGCACCCTTAGGGGCCACAGACAGGGAGGCGGCAGGGATGCCAGTCCAGCAGGGAGAAAGAGGCAAAGGCCAGGTGGGGCCAGAGCAGAGGACTGACTGGGAGGGACCTGAGTGACAGGACTTGGCAACTGCTCGGACATTTGGTATGACAAATATGCCCAAAAAAGTGATGACAGGTAGCTTCCATTCCTAAATACAAGACCCAAGGTCAATTCCTAAATTCCATCTGGAAAGCACTCTCAGAAAAAGGCCCATCCATTCAAGGAATATCTATGGATGGCCAAGCATGGTGTTCTGAATAAAGCGTTCATGAGGACATACAGACTCAGAAAAAGGCCACATGGAGAAATTGCTGTCCCCACAGCAATCAAGAAAATGTGAACCAAAACCACTCTGAGGGAGAACTGTCAGTTCCTCATAAAGTTAAACTGAGTCACCATATGATGCAGCAATTCTACCCTTAGGTATGTATCCAGAGGATTGAAAGCAGGAACTCAAAACAGGTACTGGTGCTCCCATGTTCACATAACAATTCATAACCCTGAAAAGGTGGAAACAACCCAAATGTCCATCAATGAATGAATGTGGTCCATCCACACACTGGAATATCACTCAGCAATGAAAAGGAGGGAAGCGCTGACACCAGCTACGACATGGATAAACTTTGAAAACATAAGGCTCAGTGAGATAAGCCAGGTATAAAAGGCCACACAGCGTGTGATTCCAGTTACGTGAACTGTCCAGAACAGGCAAATCCACAGACACAGGAAGTGGGTTCATGGTTGCCAGGGGCTGGGGAGAGGGATAGGTAGTTTCTGTTTTGGAAAATGAAATCGCTCTGGACATGGATGGAGTGATGTACTTACATTGTGATTGTACTTAATGGGACTCAATTGTACACCTTTAAATAGGTAAATGACAATTTTCTGTTTTATATATATGTTAACATTATTTAAAAACACCAACACTAAAGCCTGGAGGTCTCAGTGATGAGCACTTGCCCCAGATCAGGGGTCTAAGCCCACAGGCAAAGGAGGGTCTCAAGTTCTGAACAGAAACAATTATTTGATTTTGCCTTTAATGTTGAGGGAAGAGCACCCACCCCCAGATCATGTCAGTCCTTTCAGGTGTCTCGAGGTCTTCAATCCTCAGGCAGGTTTGTGCAGGGCTCTCCTGTAGGACCAGCACTCTCCCAAGTCACAGCTGGAGTCCCCCACATTCACTGAGGGAAGGCTTTATCATGTGCAGGAAGGATTTTGCCAGGGAGGACCCTCAAAGTCTGCAACTCCCTGGGATCCTCCTAGATAGACAGAAGAGACTAAGGTTCTCAGTGGCTGGA